TCTCTGTAGGTCTGTATGGGTATGGGTCTCTGTGGGTCTCTATGAGTGTGGGTCTCTATGAGTATGGGTCTCTGTGAGTCTCTATTAGTAAGGGTCCTCTGAGAATGGGTATCTGTGGGTCTCTATGAGAATGGGTCTCTGTGGGTCTCTATGAGTGTGAGTCTCTATGAGTATGGGTCTCTGTGGGTCTCTATGAGAATGGGTCTCTGCGAGTGTGGGTCTCCGTGGGTCTCTGAGTATGGGTTTCAGTGGGTCTCTATGAGTGTGGGGTCTCTGTGGGTCTCTATGAGTGTGGGTCTCTGTGGGTCTCTATGAGTGTGGGTCTCTGTGGGTCTCTATGAGTGTGAGTCTCTATGAGTATGGGTCTCTGTGGGTCTCTATGAGAATGGTCTCTGCGAGTGTGGGTCTCTGAGTATAGGTCTCTGTGGGTCTCTATGAGAATGTGTCTCTGCGAGTCTGTAGAAACACGCGTTAAGAGTATTCGGCTGCTGCTATCAATGTCCACGTGATGACGACAAGCCACTTCGTTGATCTACCGCTCATGATGGCCAGGGTTGGTTTCTGAAAAAAAAAACATCTACACATCAGCTCAGTCGGTGCCTTACCTGGTCAAATTAAAACTGTAGTAGATACTTTCACAAATCACTCCCCCAACCCACCCACACACACGCCACGAAGCACACAGCGCGAAGCAAGCGACACGAACAGACTTCCTCAGACCGTCTCAGTGGGAACTCTTTTAATGCGCGAGGCCACGCCAACGGCAATTCGCGAGGATTTCGACAATTCCTCCAGAAAAAAAGAAAACTCGTCCAAACAGAAAAAAACAACCAGAAAAATCATCTCTCAACAACGGCAAAGACCCCTCCATCGCCCCTCCCCCCCTCCTCCTCCCATTGACGTCTCCCCTCGGGCCCCGGACTCCGGGCACGGGGTCACGGGGTCACGGGCCCGGGGTCACGGACTCGAGACCCGGGGTCAGACTCGGGTCACGGGGTCACAGACTCCGGGCCACAGGGTCATAGACTCGGGGTCAAGGACTCGAGACCGGGTCAGACTCGGGTCACGGGGTCACAGACTCCGGGCCACAGGGTCATAGACTCGGGGTCAAGGACTCGAGACCCGGGGTCAGACTCGGGTCACGGGGTCACAGACTCCGGGCCACAGGATCATAGACTCGGGGTCAAGGACTCGAGACCCGGGGTCACGGGCCCGGGGTCTGACTCTGTGTGGCAGGGGGTGGGGGCGGGGGAAGGCCCTGGGGGCTCTGCGATGTCTAGGGCCCCCCGGGATTGAGGCAGCAGGGGCCCAGGGCAACGCACACGGCACACACACACACAGGACGGCCCCCGCCACCTTTCAAGCTACAAAAAAAACCAACGATGCCGTCTTAATCGTGCAAAGAAGAAGATTTAAGAGGAGGTGGAGGAGGAGGAATACCGCTGACAGGGCCACAAGTGGGCCGAGAGCTGCACGTGGCGATGGTTCTTATTGTTGTGATTTATTACACTGGTCAACACACCTTTGTTAATCCTTTATATTAAGTTCGCTTGCTTGCTTGCTTACGACCGTGCAAATATTTCGGTCGTTTTTTAACCCACTTCCCGTGATCCAATCGAGCTGACATTTTGCATACAGACTCTTTTGGAAAATTTTTTTTCACAAAAATTAATTGTCACGCACAACGAGTCTGTGTGCAAAATGTCAGCTCGATTGGATCACGGGAAGTGGGTTAAAAAACGACCGAAAGATTTGCACGGTCGTAAGCAAGCAAGCAAGCACGCAAGCACGCAAGCAAGCAAGCGAACTTAATATAAAGGATTTAAAATGATACTTGATAGAGCAAATCTTGAGATCAGATTTGGAATCGGCACCCTGAAAATTAGTCTAAAACAGCTGCAAAAGTCCAGGCCAGAAAAAAATGAATTTTGTTTGTTGTTGACCAGTGTTGTTATTGTAGTTAGGAGACTCATTTCTTTACGACTGCTTGTTGTGTTAAGTTTTCCTTCTCTCCCCCCCCTCTCCCCCGTGCCTCCAATGAGCGCGGTTTGCTACATAGTACGGTGCGAAAGAAGTTAATCGGACATACAAAAGGGGCCGTCCATAAATGACGTCACGCGATTTTGGACGATTTTTGACCACCCCCCCCCCCCCTTCGTCACAAAAAGTCAGACCCCCCCCCCTCAAATATGATGTCAAAGCTCTGCCCCCCCTCCCCCCAAAAAATATATAAAACATGCTTCAAATCGCTTTAAAATATTGCCATTGTTGTGCGTATTTAATGTGGCGCTGCACTCTGACGTTGTAGGAGAAAACATTTATTACAAAGTCTATTTAAATTTCGATTTAAAGCTTTCGTGACTGCAGGGATTCATCTTCTTGGTTCTTTCGGTAAAGTCACGTAGAAGGGAAGTAATAAAATAATAAAAATAAAACATAATAAAATAAAACATAATAAAATAAAATAATTATTTTATTACTTCCCTTCTACGTGACTTTACCGAAAGAACCAAGAAGATGAAAAGTCTATTTAATTAAGTAGAACGTGTTGTCTATATTTATTTAAAGTTGCGCATTTTGATGTGACGTCAGATTTCTCAAACTCCCCCCCCCCCTCTCGATTTAAAGCTTTCGTGACTGCAGGGATTCATCTTTTTGGTTCTTTCAGTAAAGTCATGTAGAATGGAAATAATAAATTAATACAAATTTAACATTATAAAATAACATAAAATATTTATTTTTATTTTTATTATTTCCATTCTACGTGACTTACCGAAAGAACCAAGAAGACCCCCCCCTCGTCACACATCGTCACAAATGTCTGACCGCCCCCCCCCCCAGATGCGTGACGTCATTTATGGACGGCCCCAAAGACAAAGTTCCCCCCCAGCCCCGTATAGCTTTAACAGGCTGTTGAGCAAAGTGCTGTTAGCGAGCGCCTATGAAAGGCCGGCAATGTGGCACAAGAGGGGGTGGGTGGGTCAACACGACACCCGCAGGGCCGCCTTTGTCTCCCCCAGTGGCGCACCAGGTACTCAGTTGAGGCTGAGTCGACCTAGGGGAGGCCCAGGACCGGTGAAGATGATCGTCACCGGCGTTGGCCGTGAGCGGGAATCGAACCCGGGTCACCGGATCCGTAGCGCTCACCACTGACACCACCGCTCCCCACAGACACATACAGACAAAGATCCCCCGTGTAGCCTTAACAGACTGTCGGGGCAAGTGCTGTTAGCGAGTAGCACCTATGAACGCCGGCACGGCACACGAGTGGATGGGTGGCCAACACTATGCCCGGCCGCCTTTGTCTCCCCAGTGGCGATGTTTACACAACGCACCAGGTACTAATTTTGAGACTGAGTCGACCTAGGGGAGGCCCAGGACCGGTTCAGACAATCGTCACTGGTGTTGGCCGTGATTGGAAATCGAACTTGGGCCGCCGGGTTCGTAGCGTAGCGCTAACCGCTACACTACCACACACATTTACAACAACAACCGCCATTCGCCACTAAGTGGCGGTGACGTCACCACGACGCTTGTGCCAGGCTAGGTGCACGTTGAGGCGACTGCCTCCAACTGCCCAGTAGCAGCGTCCTTCACGAGCCTCCTCCACAGAGGCCGATCTTGACTCCGCTGGTACTGGTCATCGGCAAGTCCACTCAGCTCCACGTCCTCCTGTAACACATCACTCCATCTCTTCTCCAGCCCGTGCCGCGCCCGTCTAGCCCCCTCGATCCGGCCGAACAAAAGCTGTTTAGGCATGCGGTGACTGGGCATGCGGGCTACATGACCCAGCCAACGCAGCCTTGCCTGCCGGAGGAGCTCACCAATGGGACTTTGTCCACATATACACACACACATAGATACACAAAGATCCCCCGTATAGCCTTAACAGACTGTAGGGACAAGTGCTGTCAGCGAGCACCTATGAAGGCCAGAACGGTACACGAGGGGGTGGGTGGCCAGCACCACGCCCGACCGCCTTTGTCTCCCTAGTGGCGATGTTTACACACCTCACCAGGTACTCATTTGAGGCTGAGTCGACCTAGGGGAGGCCTGGGAACGGTTCAAATAATCGCCACTGGTGTTGGCCGTGAGCGGGAATCGAACTCGTGTCGCCGGATTCGTAGCGCTAACCACTAACACCACCGCTCCCCACAGACACATACAGACAAAGATCCCCATACACACATGCACACACACACATACACACACGTACACACACGTACACACACACGTACACACACACATACACATACACGCACACACACACACGCGCACACACACACACATACACACACACACATACATACACACATACACACACACATACAACAACAACAACAACCGCCATTCGCCACTAAGTGGCGGTGACGTCACCACGATGCTTGTGCCAGGCCAAGTGCACCTTGAGGCCACGTGAAGTGTCGAAAGCCCGCTGGCAGGAGGTCACGGGGCAGACCCAGGTGCCACTGGTCGACTGACCGAGATGACCGAGATGACTGGCTGATGCACCACCTGTGCCCCCTACTGTGCCAACTTGCTGTGCTTTAGCCACCCGGCGCTCCGCTCGTTGTTGTGAGCGTCGCTCCTCCGCCCTCCGTTGTTGTTGGAGGGCGACTGCCTCCAACTGCCCAGTAGCGTCCTTCACGAGCCTCCTCCACTGAGGCCGATCTTGACACCGCTGGTACCAGTCATCGGCAAGTCCACTCAGCTCCACGTCCTCCTGTACCACATCACTCCATCTCTTCTCCAGCCCGTGCCGCGCCCGTCTAGCCCCCTCGATCCGGCCGAACAAAAGCTGTTTAGGCATGCGGTGGCTGGGCATGCGGGCTACATGACCCAGCCAACGCAGCCTTGCCTGCCGGAGGAGCTCACTGATGGGACTTTGCCCAGATCTTTCAAGGATTTGTGAGCTCCTCACACAATCCAGCCTGGTTAAACCCAGGATGGATCGTAGGCAGGCCAGCCTAAATGTTTCCAACCGGCGAAGATGCTCCACCAGGGGGGTCCACGTCTCGCAAGCGTAGAGAAGGGAGGGAATGACCGTGGCCGAGAAGACCTGAAGCTTCGTGCGGAGCGACAGACCAGGTAGCTTCCACACAGCGTTACGCAACCGATGAAAAGATATTGCCGCTCGACTGATTCGGAGTGAGACCTCTGCTGATCATAAGCATACTGCCCAGGTATGGGAAACTCTCCACTCTCTCCACAACTGCCCCATCACCAATTGGGAGTTGTGGGGGTGGAGTGTCCGATGGTACAAAATACCCAGGCAGGTGCTTAGTTTTGGTGGGGCTGATGGTAAGGCCCCACCTCTTAGTGGCACGCTCCAGTCTCAGCAGCAACGTCTCCAACTCCTCCTCTGAGTGAGCAGCTATTACCAAATCATCGGCATACATAACGTGGTTGACCAATAGGGAGCCATCCCTTGATCGCACCCGGGCGTCGATCAGCCTCCCATTATATCTGTACCAAATGGAAATTCCCCCGGTACAGCTATTGAAGGCTTCACGAACTACGCGGTCAAAATAGATGTTAAATAATGTGGGAGCCAGAGGACATCCCTGTCGCACCCCAAGGTGTACAGGGAAAGGCTCCGACTCCCGGCCACGTAGTTTTACCCGGGCCCGCTCACCATCATGAAGGTCCTTAATGATCGTGAGCAGAGGGTCAGGGACTCCGAAAGCACGAAGAACAACCCAGAGCCCAGGCCTACTGATGGTATCATAGGCCTTGACCAGGTCAATAAAGCAGAGATGTAGGTCTTTTTGGAATTCCACACATACACACACATACACACACACACATACACACACACATACACACACACACGTACACACACACATACACACACACATACACACACACACACATACGCACACACACACGCACACATACACGCACACATACACGCACACATACACACACACACGTGCACGCGCACACACAACTGGCCAACCCCGGCAACTTAATGTCCCGTGGGGGTGGGGGGGGGGCGTGCGGATTGCCCACGATGACCGCCTCAACAAGACGATGTCCATGTGGGGCAGGAAGGGAGCACGGCGGCAGGGAGGCCCCCTGCATGGCGGGGCCCAGGGCAGACACGTGGCCCCTGGCTCCCACGTGGTGCGGGGGTGGCGGCCGGGTGAGTGGAGGGACGGAGGGGGGGGGAGCTGAGAGAGGTGAAGGTCCAGGGTGAGTGGCTACGAGATGTTGACTACCTCGCCTGGTCTGCAGGAGGTCGTGGGTTCGATCCCCGACCTTGACGCTTGCTGCTGTGTATTTGGAGTTTGCGTGTCTTTCTCATCATCACTGTGGCTAGGAGATGTTGACTACCTCGCCTGGTCTACAGGAGGTCGTGGGTTCGATCCCAACCCTGACGATGACTGCTGCTGCTGTATATTTGGAGTTTGCGTGTCTCTCTCTCTCATCATCATCACGGTGGCTAGGAAATGTTGACTACCTCGCCTGGTCTACAGGAGGTCGTGGGTTCGATCCCGACCCTGACGATGCCTGCTGCTGCTGCTGCTGTATATTTGGAGTTTGCGTGTCTCTCTCTCTCATCATCATCATCACGGTGGCTAGGAGATGTTAACTACCTCGCCTGGTCTACAGGAGGTCTGTGTTTCTCTCTCTCTCATCATCATCACAGTGGCTAGATGTCGACTACCTCGCCTGGTGTACAGGAGGTCGTGGGTTCGATCCTGACCCTGACGATGCCTGCTGCTGCTGCTGCTGTATATCTGGAGTCTGCGTGTCTCTCTCTCTCTCATCATCATCACGGTGGCTAGGAGATGTCAACTACCTCGCCTGGTCTACAGGAGGGTGAAGAGGGTGGGGCTGGGTGGGGAGGGTGGGGAGGGGCTGGGTAGTGGGTGGGAGGGGTGGGGCTGGGTGGGGTGGGGCTGGTCACCCCGTGGTGCCCTTATAAAACTCAACATTTAACCTACTCACGCCGGCTTGTGCCCGCCCTCACAGGTCGGGCATATTTGCGGAATACACCACGCCCTGGCCGTTGACCCTGCAGGCCATTGACCGAGCAACCCAACGTGTTCCTACCAGCTCCCTCCGCAGGACAATGTGTTTACATGTGCCGAGGGTGTAAGGTAAGAGAGGGCGCGCGCGGGTTGTGTGTGAAGGGTGGAACGGAGGGTCGGTGTACAGGGTGAGCGAGTTCACGTTGGTTTTGTGTCACCGGGTGAGAAGTCACGAGACCAGGAGTCGGCGTTTTGACCTGGGTCGTGAGTCCGCTGCCAGCCGTAGGGGATGATTGCCGCTGTGTGGGCTCGCCTAGGGGCACCCCTAGTGGCAGCTGTCTCCGTGCGTGAGTACGCTGCCATTAGTGGCGGGTGTGAGCGTGGCGGGGGTGTAGCGTGGTGGGTGGAGCGTGACGGGTGGAGTGTGTGGGTGGAGCGTGGTGGGTGGAGCGTGGTGGGTGGAGCATAGTGGGTGTGTGAGCGACAGGATCACATCCGGTTGAGCGTCTGGAAGATGCGTGAGATCTGCAGCATGACCGGCCCGGTCTCCGGGTCGTTCATCCACTGGGCGCTGTTCACCGGGTTCTCCAGCATGTCCTCGAACGCTGCACCCACGGCACAACGCACAGGCCAAACCCCGGGGTGAGCCCTTGCCACGGAACTCTGTTGGGGGCGAGTGCTGTTAGCGAGTAGCTGCAGAAGCAGCAGCGCCTATGAAGGCCGGCACAGTGGCACACGAGGGGGTGGGTGGCCAGCACCACAAAGACAAAGATCCCCCGTGTAGCCTCAACAGGCTGTTGGGGCAAGTGCTGTTAGTGAGTAGCAGCGCCTATAAAGGCCGGCACAGTGGCACACGAGGGGATGGGTGGGTGGCCAGAATCACAAAGACAAAGATCCCCCGTGTAGCCTCATCAGACTGTGCGAGGGCAAGTCCTGTTAGCGAGTAGCAGCGCATATGAAGGCCGGCACAGCGGCACACGAGGGGGTGGGTGGGTGGCCAGAATCACAAAGACAAAGATCCCCCGTGTAGCCTCATCAGACTGTGCGAGGGCAAGTGCTGTTAGTGGCACACGAGGGGGTGGGTGGGTGGCCAGCACCACAAAGACAAAGATCCCCCGTGTAGCCTCATCAGACTGTGCGGGGGCAAGTGCTGTTAGTGGCACACGAGGGGGTGGGTGGGTGGCCAGCACCACAAAGACAAAGATCCCCCGTGTAGCCTCAACAGACTGTAGGGGCAAGTGCTGTTAGCGAGTAGCAGCGCCTATGAAGTCCGGCACAGCGGCACACGAGGGGGTGGGCGGCCAGCACCACCCAACGCACCCAACGAACGCCCGGCCGGAAGATGCAGGAGATGCAGGGAGATGCAGGGAGATGCAGGGAGATGCAGGGAGGTGCAGGGAGATGCAGGGAGATGCAGGGAGATGCAGGGAGGTGCAGGGAGATGCAGGAAGATGCAGGGAGATGCAGGGAGATGCAGGGAGATGCAGGGAGATGCAGGGAGATGCAGGGAGGTGCAGGGAGGTGCAGGGAGATGCAGGGAGATGCAGGGAGGTGCAGGGAGATGCAGGGAGATGCAGGGAGATGCAGGGAGATGCAGGGAGGTGCAGGGAGATGCAGGGAGATGCAGGGAGAGATGCAGGGAGATGCAGGGAGATGCAGGGAGGTGCAGGGAGGTGCAGGGAGATGCAGGGAGATGCAGGGAGGTGCAGGGAGATGCAGGGAGATGCAGGGAGGGCAGGGAGATGCAGGGAGATGCAGGGAGGTGCAGGGAGGTGCAGGGAGATGCAGGAGCTGCAGGGAGATGCAGGGAGATGCAGGGAGATGCAGGGAGATGCAGGGAGATGCAGGGAGGTGCAGGGAGATGCAGGGAGGTGCAGGGAGATGCAGGGAGATGCAGGAAGGTGCAGGGAGATGCAGGGAGATGCAGGGAGGTGCAGGGAGATGCAGGAGATGCAGGGAGATGCAGGGAGGTGCAGGAGATGCAGGGCGGTGCAGGGAGGGAGATGCAGGGAGATGCAGGGAGATGCAGGGAGATGCAGGGAGGGCAGGGAGGGAGATGCAGGGAGATGCAGGAGATGCAGGGAGGTGCAGGGAGGTGCAGGGAGATGCAGGGAGATGCAGGAAGGTGCAGGAGATGCAGGGAGATGCAGGGAGATGCAGGGAGATGCAGGGAGATGCAGGGAGATGCAGGGAGATGCAGGAAGGTGCAGGGAGATGCAGGGAGATGCAGGGAGATGCAGGAAGGTGCAGGGAGATGCAGGGAGATGCAGGGAGATGCAGGGAGATGCAGGGAGATGCAGGGAGATGCAGGAAGGTGCAGGGAGATGCAGGGAGATGCAGGGAGATGCAGGGAGATGCAGGGAGATGCAGGGAGATGCAGGGAGGTGCAGGGAGATGCAGGGAGATGCAGGGAGATGCAGGAAGGTGCAGGGAGATGCAGGGAGATGCAGGGAGATGCAGGGAGATGCAGGAAGGTGCAGGGAGATGCAGGGAGATGCAGGGAGATGCAGGAAGGTGCAGGAGATGCAGGGAGATGCAGGGAGATTGCAGGGAGATGCAGGGAGGTGCAGGGAGATGCAGGGAGATGCAGGGAGATGCAGGGAGATGCAGGGAGATGCAGGGAGATGCAGGAAGGTGCAGGGAGATGCAGGAGATGCAATGCAGGGAGGTGCAGGGAGATGCAGGGAGATGCAGGGAGGTGCAGGGAGATGCAGGGAGATGCAGGGAGATGCAGGGAGATGCAGGGAGGTGCAGGAAGATGCAGGGAGATGCAGGAGATGCAGGGAGGTGCAGGGAGATGCAGGAAGATGCAGGGAGATGCAGGGAGATGCAGGAAGATGCAGGGAGATGCAGGGAGATGCAGGAAGATGCAGGAAGATGCAGGGAGATGCAGGGAGATGCAGGGAGGTGCAGGGAGATGCAGGAAGATGCAGGGAGATGCAGGGAGGTGCAGGGAGATGCAGGAAGATGCAGGAAGATGCAGGGAGGTGCAGGGAGATGCAGGAAGATGCAGGGAGATGCAGGGAGGTGCAGGGAGGTGCAGGGAGGTAGCTGCAGGGAGGTGCAGGAAGGTGCAGGGAGGTAGCTGCAGAGAGCTGCAGGGAGATGCAGGGAGGTGCAGGGAGGTAGCTGCAGGGAGGTGCAGGGAGGTAGCTGCAGGGAGCTGCAGGGAGCTGCAGGGAGGTGCAGGGAGGTAGCTGCAGGGAGGTGCAGGGAGGTGCAGGGAGGTAGCTGCAGGGAGGTGCAGGGAGGTAGCTGCAGGGAGCTGCAGGGAGATGCAGGGAGGTGCAGGGGAGGTAGCTGCAGGGAGATGCAGGGAGGTGCAGGGAGGTAGCTGCAGGGAGGTGCAGGGAGGTAGGTGCAGGGAGGTAGCTGCAGGGAGGTGCAGTGTCCGTACCGAGCAGGTTCTTGGGCCTGGTGAGTCCCAGCTGCACCACGGGGTTCTCCAGGATGGCCTGGAGCAGCGGGCTGCCGGGGGACAAGCCTCCCTCCCCGCCCTCGGAGGCGGCGCCAGCGCGCTCCCCCAGCAGCCACTCGCACTGCGCACACACACGCACACAGTGCACACACAGCACTCACACACAGCACTCACACACAGCACACACACAGCACGCACACACAGCGCACACAGCGCACAGCACACACAGCGCACACAGCGCACACACACACGCACACAGTGTGCAGCACACACACACAGCGCACACACACAGTGTGCAGCACGCACACACACAGCACAGTCAACCAGGCAGCCACTCACACAACCCACATACACACAACACACACACAGCACAAACACCCCACAGACACACACACACCACACACTCCACAGACACACACACGCCACAGACACACACACACCCCACAGACACACACACCACACACAGACACACACCACACCCCACAGACACACACACACCACACACACACCACACACACCCCACACCACACACCACGCACACATCACCCCCCACACACACCACAAACACCACGCACACAGCACACACCCCACACAGCACACACCCCACACACGCACACCCCACACACCCACACCCCACACACGCACACCCCACACCACACACACCCCACACAGCACACACCCCACAGACACACACACATACACACCACACACCCCACAGACACACACACCCCATACACACCACGCACACACCACACACACCCCACAGACAGACAACACACCACACCCCACAGACACCCCCACAGACACACACACACCACACACACCACGCACACATCACGCACACCACACAGACACACCACACACACACCACACACACCCCACACACACAGCACACACCCCACACAGCACACACACCACACACTCCCCACAGACACACACACACACACCACACACTCTCCACAGACAGACACACACCACACCCCACAGACACACACACATCACACACCACACACACACACAGCACACACACACACACAGCACACACACACACACCCCACACACACCACGCACACATCACACACCACACACACCACGCACACATCACACCCCACACACACCACACACACACAGCACACACCCCACAGACACACACACACCACACACACACCCCACAGACAGACACACACACACCACACACACACACCCCACACAGCACACACCCCACACAGCACACACCCCACCGACACACACACACCACAGACACACACACCACACACACCACGCACACATCACACACCACACACACCACGCACACATCACACCCCACACACCCACAGACACACACTCACACACACAGACACACAGACACACCCCACAGACACACACACACCACACACACCACGCACACATCACACCCCACACACACCACACACACCACACACACACACACCCCACAGACACACACTCACCACACACAGACACACCCCACAGACACACACACACACCACACACACACACCACACGCACACACACACCCCACACACCACAACCCCAGAGACACACACACCACACACACCCCACACCACACACCCCACACACACCCCACACCACACACCCCACACAGCACACACCCCACACACACACCCCACACAGCCCCCACACACATCACACACCCCACACAGCACTCACCCCACACACACACACCCCACACACCCCACACACACACACACCCCACACACACACCACACCCCACAGACACACACACCACACACCACAGACACACATCACACCTCACACACACACCACACACACTCACTCACACACACACACCACACACACACACTCACTCACTCACCACACCCCACACACCACACACACCACACACACCCCACACACACACACCCCACACACACCCCACACACACACACACACCCCACACAGCACTCACCCCACAGACACACCACACACCCACACCACACCCCACACACACACCCCACACAGCACTCACCCCACACACACACACACCCCACACACACACCTCACACACAGCACACACCACACACACACACACACCCCACACACACACAGCACACACACACCCCCACACATACACACCCCACACACACACACACCCCACACACACACACACCCACACACACACCCCACAGACACACCCCACACACACACACACACCCCCCACACACACACACAGCACACACCCCACCACACACACCAGACACACACACCTCACACACACACACACCCCACACAGCACACACCCCCACACACACACACACACCCCACACACACCAGACACAGCACACCACACACCAGACACACACCCCCACACACACACCAGACACACACACACACCCCACACACACACCGACACACACACACACACCCCACACAGCACTCACCCCACAGACACACACACACCCCACACACACACCAACACACACACTCACACACACACCCCACACACACACCTCACACACACACACACACCCCACACAGCACTCCACCCCACAGACCACCACACACACCCACACACCACACCCCTCACAGCACTCACCCCACACACACACACACCCACACACACACTCACACACAGCACACACCCCACACACACACCTCACACCAGCACACATACCCACACAACACAACCTCACACACACCCCACACACACCACCCACACACACACCCCACACAGCAGCAGCAGGCAGGACTCACAGCGGGCCTCCTTGTTGTTGCCGTTGACTCGCAGGCGCCTCCACTACGTCCTTTTCCCACACACCAACCCCCACCCATACCCACACCACACACCCCACACACACAACATCACACCACCACCACACCACCCCACACAGCACTCACACCACACACACCCCACAGCACTCACACCACAACACACCCACACACCCCACACACACGCCCCACACACCCCACACACACCCCACACCACACACACCCCACACACACCCCACACACCCACACACACACACACACCCCACACACACACACACCCCACACAGCACACACACCCCACACAGCACACACACCCCCACACACACACACACCCCACACACACACACACCCCACACAGCACACACACACCACACACACCACACACACACCACACACACCACACACACCACACACCCCACACACACCACACACACAGCACTCACACAGCACACACACCACACACACCCCAGCAGCACTCACAGCGGCCTCCTGGTTGTTGCCGTTGACTCGCAGCGCCTCCACTACGTCCTTCTCCTCGAAGCCCATCTCCAGCAGCGCCGCCAGCGCCTGCCCCGCACAGCCCACAGCTCGCAAACGCGTTTTGATTCCTTACCCTACCCGTACCCTACCCGTACCGTACCCGTACCCTACCCTACCCTACCCGTACCCGTACCCGTACCCTACCCGTACCCTACCCGTACCCTACCCGTACCCTACCCTACCTACCCTACCCTACCCTACCCGTACCCTACCCGTACCCTACCCGTACCCTACCCGTACCCTACCGTACCCTACCCGTACCCTACCCGTACCCGTACCCTACCCGTACCCTACCCTACCCTACCCTACCGTACCTACCCGTACCCTACCCTACTCGTACCCTACCCGTACCCTACCCGTACCCTACCCTACCCTACCTACCCTACCCTACCCTACCCTACTCGTACCCTACCCGTACCCTACCCGTACCCTACCCGTACCCTACCCGTACCCTACCCGTACCTACCCTACCCGTACCCTACCCGTACCCGTACCCTACCCTACCCTACCCGTACCCTACCCGTACCCTACCCGTACCCGTACCCTACCCGTACCCTACCCGTACCCTACCCGTACCCTACCCGTACCCTACCCGTACCCTACCCGTACCCTACCCGTACCCTACCCCCTACCCGTACCCTACCCCGTACCCTACCCGTACCTACCGTACCCTACCCGTACCCGTACCCTACCCGTACCTACCGTACCCTACCCGTACCCTACCCATACCCGTACCCTACCCTGTACCCTACCCGTACCCGGCCGCACCAGGATCGCAAACGGGTACCCGTACCCGGCTAGGTACGGGTACCCGTACTCTACCCGTACCCTACCCGAAATGAGTGACAAACGGTACTCACCAGTGACTCACGGCCTACCCGTACCCGGCCGCACCAGGGTCGCAAACGGCTACCCGTACCCGTACCCGCCGGGTACGGGGTAGCCGGGTATCGGGAGGGTAAGGGTATCGGGTACCCGGTTGCGACCTCTGGCACAGCCACAACCAGCAGCGCCCCCGTCAGCAACGCCCACCCAACCTGCGAGCGTCGCTACGAGATGTAACTACCTCGCCTGGTCTACAGGAGGTCGTGGGTTCGATCCCGACCCTGATGATGCCTGCTGCTGCTGCTGTATATTTGGAGTCTGCGTCTCTCTCTCTCATCATCATCACGGTGGCTAGGAGATGTTAACTACCTCGCCTGGTATACGGCGGCCGTGGGTTCTGATCCCAGTTGCGGCGGTTGATGCGGTTGCTCTGGTTGCGGTGGTTGAGGCGGTTTCGGTGGTTGCATGCATGTTGAACTTCTTTCGCACTGCACGTAGCCACCTAATCCGAGGTGTGGGTTGCGATGGTTGCGGTGGTTGAGGTGGTTGCTGTGGTTGCAGTGGTTGCGGCGGTTGCAGTGGTTGCCGTGGTTGCGGCAATCGCGGCGATCGCGGCGATCGCGCCGGGCTTGCACTCACCATGGGGTCCGGCCGGAACTCCCGCCGGCGCCGATTCCGGCGGAACACCTCCGTGAGGTCGTCCGGGGGTCGCGACCTCTCCCTGGGCCCCGCCCCTGGGCGACCGAGGGGCAGCGGGGGAGGTCGCCGGGGGGGCCGCCGGGGGGCGCGGCAACCACGAGGCCGTCGCCGCCGCTGGCCCCGTGATCGCCGGGGCGGTGGTGGTGGAGGTGGCGATGGTGGTGGGTGGTGGAGGTGGTGGCGGTGGAGGTGGCGGCCGTTGAGTCATGCTCGTGCTCAATGAGCCACTCCATTGCGCGCGTCACCGACATGCTGGGGGGGGGGGGGGGGCAAGTGGGTGGGTGAGTGACGGTAAGTGAGGGTGGGTGAGGGTGAGTGAGGGTGGGTGAGGGTGGGTGGGCGGGTTAGCGAGCAGGTGAATGGGTGAGAGTGCGGATGAGTGAGCGAGCGAGCGGCTGACACGGTGAGTGACGGAGTGAGTGAGGTGAGCGATCAAGTGTAGGCTGAGTAGGAGTGAGGTTTGATCCGTGCGAGCGAGTGCGAGCGAGTGTGAGCGAGCGCGAGCGAGTGTGAGCGAGTGTGAGTGAGCGAGTGTGAGTGAGTGTGAGTGAGCGAGTGTGCACGCACTCGTTGGGAGTGCAGCGCCACGCTGGCACGGCCCTCTGGGAAGCCCATCTCCAGCAGCTGCGTCAGCGCCCCCTCCACCTCGAGTGTGAGCGAGCGTGTGCGAGCGAGTGTGAGCGAGCGTGTGAGCGAGTGTGAGCGAGTGTGCACGCACTCGTTGGAGTGCAGCGCCACGCTGGCACGGCCCTCTGGGAAGCCCATCTCCAGCAGCTGCGTCAGCGCCCCCTCCACCTCGGGTGTGAGTGAGCGTGAGTGAGTGTGAGCGAGCGAGTGTGAGTGAGCGAGTGTGAGCGAGCGAGTGTGCACAGCACTCGTTGGAGTGCAGCGCCACGCTGGCACGGCCCTCTGGGAAGCCCATCTCCAGCAGCTGCGTCAGCGCCCCCTCCACCTCAGGCGGCCGCTCAGCCTCCACGTCCTCATCCAACATGGCTGCTCACACAAAGACAAAGATCCCCGTGTAGCCTTCAGACTGTCGGGGCAAGTGCTGTTAGCACTACACATCAGAGGTCGCAACCGGGTACCCGATACCCGTACCCTACGCAATACCCGGCTACCCGTACCCGGCCAGGTACGGGTAAGGAATCAAACCCATTAGCGACCTCTGCTACACACAGACACAAAGACAAAGATCCCCCGTGTAGCCTTCAATAGACTGTAGGGGCAAGTGCTGTTAGCACTATACACACACACAGACAAAGATCCCCCGTGTAGCTTTCAACAGACTGTCGGGGCAAGTGCTGTAAGCACTACATACATACAAAGACAAAGATCCCCCGTGTAGCCTTCAATAGACTGTCGGGGCAGGTGCTGTTAGCACTACACACACACAAAGACAAAGATCCCCCGTGTAGCCTTCAACAGACTGTCGTGGCAAGTGCTGTAAGCACTACACACACACAAAGACAAGATCCCCCGTGTAGCCTTCAACAGAGTGTAGGGGCAAGTGCTGTTGGCAAGTAGCAGCAGCTATGAAGGCCAGAACGGCACACGTAGGGATGGGTGGCCAGTATTTAGCGAGTGAGTGGTGAGTGAGTGGCGAGTGCTGGTGAGTGGTGAGTATTAGTGAGTGGCGAGCGAGTGGCAAGTGTTAGCGAGTATTTAGCGAGTGGTGAGTGAGTGGCGAGTGGTGAGTGAGTGGCGAATATTTGCGAGTGGCGGTGTTAGCGAGTGAGTGGCTCGTGCTGGCAAAGTGGTGGGCGAGCGGGTGAGCGAGCGGGTGAGCAAGCGGGCGGACAAGCGAGCGGGGGGATGAGCGAGCGGGCAGGTGAGGAAGCGGGTGAGCGAGCGGACGAGCGAGCGAGAGAGCGAGCGGGTGAGGGAGCGGGTGAGGGAGCGGGCGAGTGAGCGGGTGAGCGAGCGAGCGGGTGAGCAAGCGGGTGAAGCGAGCGGGTGAGCGTGCGGGTGAGCAAGCGGGTGAGCGAGCGGGTGAGCGAGCGGGTGAGCGAGCAAGCGGGCGGGCGAGTGAGCGTGCGGGTGAGCGAGCGGGTGAGTGAGCGGGCGAGTGAGCGGGTGAGTGAGCGGGTTAGCGAGCGAGCGTGTGAGCGAGCGGGCGAGCGTGCGGGCGAGCGAGCGGGCGAGCGAGCGGGTGAGCGAGTGGTGAGCGAGTGGGTGAGCGACGGGTGTAGCGAGCGGGTGACGTGCGGGTGAGCAGGTGGGTGAGCGAGCGCGCACCGTTGCGGTGCGGAACAAGTCGACCGCTTCGGGGTTGAGAGCGAGCAGCGTCTGAGCGACGTCGATGAGCGACACCAGGATCTTGCGCAGGTCCGTGTGGAACTTGACGCCAGCACGCACACACACACGCACACACACACACACACACGCACACACACACACGCACACACACACACACGCACACACAACCACACACGCACACAACAACACACGCGCACACACACACGCACACACACGCACACACACACACAGACACACACACACACGCACACAACACCACACGCGCACACACACACGCGCACACCACACACGCACACACACGCACACAAACACACACGCACACACAACACACGCACACACACACACGCACACACAACACACCGCACACACACACAGCACACGCGCCACACCACAGCGCACACACACACGCACACACACGCACACACACCCACAGACACACACACACACGCACACACACACGCACACAAAGATAAAGATCCCCCTTATAGCCTTAACAGACTGTAGGGGCAAGTGCTGTTAGCGAGCACCTATGAAGGCCGACACGGCACACACGAGGGGGTGGGTGGCCAGCACCACGCCCGACCGCCTTTGTCTCCCCAGTGGCGATGTTTACTACCACACACCGCTACACCAGGTGCTCGTTTGAGGCTGAGTCGACCTAGGGGAGCCCAGGACCAGTTCCGATAATCGTCACTGGTGTTGGCCGTGAGCGGGAATCGAACCCGGGTCGCCAGGTTCGTAGCGCAGCGTAGCGCTAACCACTACACCACCGCTCCCCACACACGCACGCACGCACGCACGCACACACAACGTACACACGCACACGCACGCACCCCCCCCTCTGTGTAGCCTTAACAGACTGTTGGGGACTGTTGGGGCAAGCGCTGTCAGCGAGTGGCAGCAGCAACTATGAAGCCCGGGAACGCAGGCACACGCACGCAGAAACGCACGGGAAAACAACAACAACAGGAGGACGAACAGGCGGAGTTGGGCGGCGCGTCACGCACACACGCACCAATGACCGCCATTCGCCACTAAGCGGCGTGACGTCACCACGGTGCCTGTGCCAGGCTAGGTGCACTTTGAGGGTATCGCGTGAAGTGTAGAAGGCTCGCTGACAGAAGGAGGTCACGGGACAGACCCAGCAGGTGCCACGGTTGGCAGAGATGACCGGTAGATGCACCACCAGCTGTACCCCCTACTGTGCCAGGCTAGGGCAGGATCCGGGACAGACCCAGCAGGTGCCACGGGTTGGCTTACTGAGATGACCGGTAGATCCACCACCAGCTGTACCCCCCCTACTGTGCCAGGCTAGGTGCAGGAGGTCACGGGACAGCCCAGCAGGTGCCGTGGGTTGGCTGACTGAGATGACCGGTAGATGCACCACAAGCTGTACCCCCCTACTGTGCCAGGCTAGGTGCAGGAGGTCTCGGGACAGACCCGGCAGGTGCCACGGGTTGGCTGACTGAGATGACCGGTAGATGCACCACAAGCTGTACCCCCCTACTGTGCCAGACTATGTGGCAGGAGGTCACAGGACAGACCCGTAGGTGCCACGGGTTGGCTGACTGAGATGACCGGTAGATGCACCACCACTTTACTCCCCACTGTCCAGGCTAGGTGCAGGAGGTCTCGGGACAGACCCCGGCGTGCCACGGTTGGCTGACTGAGATGACCGTTAGATGCACCACCACCAGCTGTACCCCCCTACTGTGCCAGGCTAGGTGCAGGAGGTCTTGGGACGACCCAGCAGATGCCACGGGTTGGCTGACTGAGATGACCGGGTAGATGCACCACCACCATGCTGTACCCCCCTACTGTGCCAGGCTAGGTGCATGAGGTCTCGAGACAGACCGGTAGGTGCCAACGGGTTGGCTTACTGAGATGACCGGTAGATCCACACCAGCTGTACCCCCCCTACTGTGCCAGGCTAGGTGCAAGAGGTCACGGGACAGGCCCAGCAGGTGCCGTGGGTTGGCCGACTGAGATGACCGGTAGATGCCCACCAGCTGTACCCCCTGCTGTGCCAGGCTAGGTGCAGGAGGTCATGGGACAGACCCAGCAGGTGCCACGGGTCGGCCGACTGAGATGACCGGTAGATGCACCACCAGCTGTACCCCCCTACTGTGCCAGGCTAGGTGCAGGAGGTCACGGGACAGGCCCAGCAGGCCGTGGTTGGCCGACTGAGATGACCGGTAGATGCACCACCAGCTGTACCCCCTGCTGTGCCAGGCTAGGTGCAGGAGGTCACGGGACAGACCCAGCAGGTGCCACGGGTTGGCTTACTGAGATGACCGGTAGATCCACCACCAGCTGTACCCCCCTACTGTGCCAGGCTAGGTGCAAGAGGTCACGGGACAGGCCCAGCAGGTGCCGTGGGTTGGCCGACTGAGATGACCGGTAGATGCACCACCAGCTGTACCCCCTGCTGTGCCAGGCTAGGTGCAGGAGGTCACGGGACAGACCCAGCAGGTGCCACGGGTCGGCCGACTGAGATGACGGTAGATGCACCACCAGCTGTACCCCCCTACTGTGCCAGGCTAGGTGCAGGAGTCACGGGACAGACCCAGCAGGTGACGTGTGGGTTAACCGACTGAGATGACTGGTAGATGCACCACCAGCTGTACCCCCTACTGTGCCAGGCTAGGTGCAGGAGGTCACGGGACAGACCCTGCAGGTGCCACGGGTCGGCCGACTTGGATGACCGGTAGATGTACCACCACCTGTGCCTCCTACTGTGCCAACTCGCTGCATTTTATCTGCCCAGCGCTCCGCTCGTTGTTGTGAGCGTCGCTCCTCCGCCCTCCGTTGTTGTCGGAGGGCGACTGCCTCCAACTGCCCAGTATCAGCGTCCTCCATAACAACAACAACTGCCATTCGCCACTAAGTGGCGGTGACGTCACCACGACGCTTGTGCCAGGCCAAGTGCACCTTGAGGCCACGTGAAGTGTCGAACACCCATTGGTAGGAGCTCACGGGGCAGACCCAGCAGGTGCCACAGGTCGACTGACCGAGATGACCAAGATGACTGGCTGATGCACCACCTGTGCCCCCTACTGTGCCAACTTGCTGATTTAGCCACCGGCGCTCCGTCGTTGTTGTGAGCGTCGCTCCTCTCCGCCCTCCGTTGTTGTTGGAGGGCGACTGCCTCCAACTGCCCAGTAGCGTCCTTCACGAGCCTCCTCCAGAGGCCGATCTTGACACCGCTGGTACCAGTCATCGGCAAGTCCACTCAGCTCCACGTCCTCCTGTACCACATCACTCCATCTCTTCTCCAGCCCGTGCCGCGCCCGTCTAGCCCCCTCGATCCGGCCGAACAAAAAGCTGTTTAGGCATGCGGTGGCTGGGCATGCGGGCTACATGACCCA